ATTTTGTCGATTGAATTAAGTGGACCATGAAGTACGACAACACAGTGTCCAGCAACCAACATGACTGCAATGATACCACACTGGAAACACTACCAGTTCACATTAAAACTAGTCACAATTATCTTCTGTATGCAAAGTGATCGAGTATACAATTTAATCTCCCAGTCTTGTTTTGATGAGGGAAATTTCCTCATTGTGTTTCCTGCTGGCAATCACACAGCTACTAGTGCCATCATCATCATCATCATCATCATCTGTGCGTCTCACAGGGTGGATGCTTTCCTGTTGTTGTTCTTGTTGTTGTTGTAATAGTAGTTGCTGAACTCCTTGCATCTACTACCTTCGTCTATTTATCAAATATTATCATACGACCAATTCAACGATTGTTTCTCTGTGTGAATTCTGTATTCAATTCAACGAGTTTATTGCAGTAGATGAAAGTAACTCAACATCTCAAAGGGTGAACAGTATGAACTAATTTTCAACACAACTGGTGGACAGTAGACTGTCTGTTATAACCACTTATCTGCTTCTAAGCGAGTTAGGCAGTTTGTGTTGTGAAAGTGTGGCACAATGCTTTCTTCTCATCGTCAGTATAAATAATTGACAGTGCCGAGAAATATGCATTTCAGAAATCAGTTGGTTAGGTCTACACATTATCATACCTCTGTCTAATCACTTCATCCAAGTCATTCCCTTCCACAAGTTGGCTGATACTTACCAGCTTTCCGGAATTCAGAGAGCATTTTTATTATTCTCTACTGACTCACGCACATGTCGACTAGACGACTTTCCCGATTCTCGTCACTCTGAAGGATATCTTCCATCACCTTGATTTTATATATAACAGGGTGACAGAAGATGTTTTCTCTGCAACATGAAATCAAGCAATCGTCGAATAGCTCTAATAACAGTTGGTTGTTAGGTTTTAAGGAGCACAAACAAACTGGCGTTTACGTCAGTTGGACAGGTAGGTAGATAGATCATGTTGGAAGCACGCACACAAAGGCATCGTGAAAAGGGAATGGAATGCAATCAGCAGCCTAGTGCAGATTCACTCAGTAGACACTGAGCCATACCTGTTGTGTGAGGTCACATGATACTACCTGGTTGCCTAAATCCTGTTACTTGGAACATGGTTCCAGTCCGTGATGTGTAGGCTGGAAATCAAGTGCCTAAACGGGCGAGTCACAGCTCCACACAGAAAGGCATCACTTCATGCCATCACACTTAGTAATGGAATACAACGAGGAAGTTGACTTGAAGTGAGTCATAACAAAATCGACAAGACTGTATATTGTGAGGGGGGATGAACTAACTGATTAAGCTTAGTGAGAATCTTCGTAATTTCGAAAATCATTGAGAGGCACTACAACTGAACCAGTGTGATCCTTTGTGAGACATATAACCCGTAGTCTTCAACTGTGAATTCCTAAGGTATCCAGGACCTCACTCCAGTAGTCGACGTCTGTCTACTGGTTCAGGTGAATACTCATGTAATACATGGATATGAACTGGACTTTGATATGTTCACTCCTAATTTTCTTTCCACCTGGTCCTATTCCAGTCCAGATATTTTCTTGGGTTACATAGTACACTGGTATGCCCAATCCAACCCTAGAAACTTCTAGACAATGCAAATTCACAATCTCATCGATTGACTTGTCGTTTCTACCTAGTTAGGGTATAGAAGGAAAGAATTCACGAACTACAGAAGTACATTGGTTTGCTTCAGACTGAAGGTACATGCTTCTGAAGAGTACCATCAGTCATGAAACGTTGATCTAGGCTTTTCTAAAAACAGCTTGTCACTCTGGTTCTGTGTAACTTACACTGGTGACAGATTTGTGATTTTTATTCTAGAGAAGTTATGACTCACCTATTGTAGACACCTTTCATAATGGAAATCCATTCATAGTGCCAAATATGTTCACTTATTCTCACTTTTCAAATATTGGATTCCTAGCTTCACCATACCAACTGTACCGTCGTTTACCTTAGTGAATTCTCGATAATCCACATGACGAGTAGAGGCTCAATCGTTATCCAACACATTTGTCGAATTTTCAACATACCGAAATGGGGTTAAATATTGTCTTTTAAGTATAACTGGTTAACTGAAATCTTGCAAAACCTTTTCATAGCATCAAGATGGGATATGGTTGTCATCCATCTCAAGTCAAATGTCCGCATGTCTCACTCAATTCCGTGAGTTTCTTGATCTTTCTTCCTCGACTGCGAGTTAATCATTAGATGTTAATGACCAGCCAGTCTGCTGTGAGAACAAATTACCTTGTTGTCACCACTCATCTTTATTGAGCTAATATGATAGATAGATCCTCAGTAGCTTCATTGCTTTCTGATATCACTGAATGCTGTGGACCGAAATCCTTTTCATCAATCCACTGACGACTCTCATGCTTCTGGTTTATGGAGTTAGTAGTAAACTCGTTGGAACATCACTACACTTTCACAGTTGAATCGCTTGACATTTTGACTTACCTCCTCTCATAGCATTCAGCCTTCGCTCGGTTTAATATTCCAAAACGTATCACTGCTTCCCAATTTCTCAACCTGATGATATTTCATTCTAAATGTTGCTGAACCATATTTTCATGGTCGAGTAGACTTATAAAGTTCATTCGTGTGCTTCATTTTAGAAATTCCTAAACACTGAAGTCAGTTTGCATGAATTTTCAGTAAGCAAAGTATATTTCTTTCGAGTCAAACATGAGAAATGTTATATCGAAAACTTCTGTGTTCTTATGTCAGTCAACAGTCAACCGAACAACTACGGATTCAGGATGAACTAGTGAAAAGAGAAATTCTTTCACTCGGCATTGATAAACTACTTGTTGTAACAGATCTGAAAGCTACTGACGACCATGTGTCGATCAGATATGTAAACTGGGTGCTGGAATTTGAGCACACATCAAATCAGGCTACCTCTTGCCAATTAAATTCGACATGTGGAAACCAGAAAACCAACTGGTTTATTCATGCAATGATTCACTCCATATGAGCCATCGACATGCTTAGGCAAACAAACGCACATCAATTTCATGAAAGTAGACCAAACTCAACAAAACAGTGAACTACATTCACCATGAAGCGTTTCCCCTTACACAGACACTTAATAACATCAGTTTAGTCGAATACATGGTTTGTGTTGCATAGTCTATATTATGAGACTGGACAATGGATGACCGTGTTCTTATCTAACTATTCACACAGTAAAATCCACTGTGTGATAGTGATCAGTTGAATGGAATTAACACATGTTAGGCATGGTACTTCCAATTCTCATGGGGGTCAGGCAGGATATTGTTCGAGTAGATTTCACAACAATAATGCCAGGGATGTCGGTGTTTAGTTACTTACTGGTAAGCTCCAGATTATTTAGTTTCTTCATTAAGTGTAACGATCGAAGTGACTGACATAAGCAAGCTTCATTACTTGAAAGTAGTTAGAGCGGAAGGAGTGAAATCAGATAGAGTCATTGAAATGATTACAACTACTAGACAGGTATTTCGTGTTACTTCGAGACTGTTCAGTTGTGTTCATCTGCAGTCCAGTATGGAAGTGAGCCCATGACCATACGATTTCGCAGAGACCACGTTACTATCTAGCCACTCAGTTGGAATTCAATGATCCACTCTCCTCAACTTCTGTCAATTTGTGATATCATGTGAACACTGTGTAGTGTCGTCGATTGACATTTGCACCCACTATTGATTTCGATTTTCGTTAACATCTTCAAGATTTGAGACTTTTCAACATCTCTACAAATCATGCCATTCCCTCACCTAGAGAAGTTTTGACTCCGTGGTGCTAATGACTGAAGGTGGACTAGAGAAGATGATGCTTCCGATATCACATCTTGCATGGATATGGAAACCGATTCAGGTTAGCACATGGATGATCAGTAGTAGTTAGAGATCTACACTTCAAGGAAGGTGTCTCATACACATAATTTCCGTGTGAACTATCCATCAGAAGAAGTCTAATGGGAAGACTAAATTTATACCGACTACCTGACACCTCATCAATCTTCCACAAAAGAAATTTTACAGACCTCTTAGAAGGGGGCGGCCTAGAGCCCTGACACTTCACATACTATCTCTGCTGTTTCTTCTTACATGCATCTAGGGTACACGAATTACTTATTTCTCGATATCCAGGCATTTCATATCATCTGTTCATGAACGTGGAATTTCCTGTATACATTAAGACATGCTAATCAAGTCGAATAGGTTTGCTCACCACTCCTATTCGAACTTATAGCTAATGATAGGTATTTGATGGGAGGTTTGCAAATTATTTCAAAGCTGTACGCTTAACATTGAGCCTTCTGCAAGTTGGATTGTTTTTCACTAGTACACAGGTATTTCCAACAGAGCTTGCACCGAAAATCATTCAGTCAAGACTACAGTTTATGTCCCTGTTATTTGGTTGGAGGTGATCAGCAGGAAGGCCTACTTCACTCAGCTTTCATGATTTTAGGCACTCGTCAGCGAGGCAGATTGCAACCTCAACAGAACTGATCTCTCACCTGAGATTGGAACCCGCATCACCCAGTGCCACGGTAGGAGACTTCACCACTGAGCTATCTGGGACCTGACACAAACTTATAAATATAACAAGACGAACTAAGCTGCTGGGAGACATGAGTGGTTAGATATTAGTTACAGGCGTTTACAAATCTCCTGAGAATATTGAGAGGACAACTTCAACACCAGATAACCATTTCACTGTTTTGCAGTTGAATTAGTCATCAACGTACCTGGAGAGATCTGGCGCAGACAATCAAACAGCATAGAATTGCGTCACTTGGCATGCACCCAGCAGTGTATGACAAACTGGACAAACAATCTGCACTGTGTTAACAAATCACATTCCGTGTGACTGTGAGGTTTGTCCAACCACTTCATTTTGACAGTCAGACAGATGCCTTTGCGATCCCTCATCAAGTTGTTGTTGTTGTTGTTGTTGTTGTTGTTGTTGTTGTTGTTGTTGTTGGGGATGTCACCCATTCTGATGGCGGGATCTCTTTGTCAATGCAAGCTATGAGTAAGTGAAATTTGTCTGGCTGGTTTAATGTACATCTAGCCAACACAAACTGTGTCAACTATCATCTTACACCTGAAACATTGAGGTTCGGAGGAATTAAACTTCAACAGAAGAAAGCAGACCACATGGATTTGTGGATGGGATAATGTAGAAGTTCAGTCAATCAATTTTAAGATTTAATCTCCTCTTTCTTATTGACAGGTAAATAAGTGTTTGTCAATGTTACATCTATGAAACGTGGATTTCCTGAAGCCTTGCAAGCAAGGATTCATGATATGAGTTAGGGGAACGTGTTGATCGTAATAGACTGGTTCGAATAGCGATCAGCTCACCCGCATTCAGTCTTTTGCTGAACAAGTGAACTTTCTGCTATCAGTCACCTTTTCCAATGTGAACACTTTACGCATGCAGAATATTTTACAGGCGAACTTTATTTACAACATGGAATAACTGTGAACCACTTCATGTTAAAGTATGAATCCACTGGAAGATGGAGACATCAGTGGACAAAAGTGAAGGACTGGATGTATAGAAGTGGATATGTCGTAAGAATCACTGTCCAGTATGCTGGAAAACACTCCACTGAAACACACTCGCCTTCAATTACAACTTCTTGTTCGCTTGCTTACACGACGAGAAGAGGTAGGTATTACAAATTGAACCGTCTTGGACTCTTATGATCTTAGTGTTTACATTCACGAAGGACTTTCAGCAATCTGAAGACAACCTGTAAGGACAGCTGTGGCAAGTGATAGTCTTATTTCATAATTTTGGTTGCAGATGTTTGGAGCAAATATCTGTATGCTTTGTGGAGGAGACATTCAGCTAAATTAATGAAGATTAAAAATGGTGCATGTAGAAACTGGAATGAATTCAAGGCCGTAGATGCTGATTGAACGAACTAACCTGAAGTCATTAGAGTCTTCAATGGTTTTTGCAAATAATCCTCTCCAGTATTGGGAAGAGTTGATCCTGACACTTTCTTCTATATCATTGTATGATATATAGAATGTGAGGTCAAGTTTAACTTCACCTGATCAGTGGAATCATACAACTCCGTTGCTGGAGTACTGGTTTCACTGACTAGAGTCTCTGAGATACAGGTTTATGAACACTATTTATTGATACTTGTAATTGTCCGTTGTTATTATATCGGATAGAATTGATCGATATCTGTTTGCTCATGGTCTGCTATTTCAGAGGCTTTTCGCATTGATTCAGATATGATATACTTGGTGGTGGCTAGCAGTGGAGTGTAGGACGTGTGTCTATACCCGCTTGCCACTCGTCAGTTGGATGCACCTGCACTCACCAAATGAGTGATGGTGTTCTGACTGGGACACAAACTCCGCATTAATTGCTACAAGCACGAAGGCTGATAGTTGCCTCTCACCACATATATATATATATATATATATATATATATATATATATATATATATATATATATATATATATATATATATATACACGTACATTCGTTCTCGCTATAACCAAGAAGAGAGTTTGCAGTGGTGCGTTCGACACATGAATGTCTGAAGTTCACGAGTAGTTGCATTTCCCCAGAGCGTTGGATCCCTTATTAAATGCAATCCTAAATAGTTGATGCCAAAGAGCAAGATGCTGATAGGAAAGAGTAAATAAGAATAACCGAATCATCTTATGGCTAGACAGCTAGCTAGCTGTATTGACCAGCCATGAATTACATATCAACTAAACAATGCCTGTGATTGTATCCCGTCACAAGCCCTTGCTGTATAACAAAGGGTGATTATCAACCAATATGAATATAGTTAGCAACCAGTGGGGTGAACATTATCAAAAGTAAACTATCAGCTTTGTTTTATTCACCTTCAAAATGCTTAGTGACTTCTGATTTCTGTGATGTTGAACATGACATGTCTTCACAACTGATAGGAGTGTCAGGATAATAATCAGCCTTGGGAGGTTCAGATCTAAGGTAGGAAACAGTCACTTAGTGAACAGACAAATAATCATGTACTTGAAAATCGTCTTTCTTCCCTTCATTGATTCGTCTGTATGCTTTTCATCACGCGGAACTGATGAAGCTGTCGTGGAGATGTACCTCTGCATTTCCGCCTTTGCCTGACCAAATGATTCTATTGAGAAATTTGTTTTGAAAGAAAACAATACAAAATTATTAGCATTGTTACCAAAAGCCTTGATTACTCGGACATGATGGAATGATGATCCTCGAGGAGGATCACTATGAACTAGAAAGGAATATTCATCTATTGGTTCCGTGAACACAGCTTCATCGCCATGTATCCAATTGCTGCTAATTATAGCCGGTTTGTTGTTCTCTGTTCGCACCACTAGAACATACATATCCTTCTGAAGAATCTAAAAGCTGCTCATTATTTCTTCAAAGGGGACTTGTTTACAGTTTCCATTTTGCGCACAGCATCAGAAAATACCAGGTTGTTTTGATCACGAATGATGATATTCTTGTTATAGCTAGGGTGGATGAATACAGAATCACATTTTTCACAGACTAACTAACAATCGCATACAGCCAACAACCAGTAAGACTGATTATCACTGTCGCGTGAAAATTAATCTACAATGCATGAAATGTTTGTACAGTAAAACATTTTAACTTCGGCCATATGCATGAATAAGCAGAATTCGTTGGGAAACCTGAACTTACTGCTGATCAATGTGGAGAGGGATATCATGTTTCCATTGTCTAGACACTGAACTGCTGCTTCTCTCTTTTGAGACTGAGATCACTGTCAGAGTACTCAAACAAAAGTGGACTCAGAAAGTCAACTTCTACAGACTACTTGAAGTCAGTCAGTCAGTCACATGACTGAGAAGTACTCGAATTGTGAATATCGGTTTGCAGTTTTAGTCAGTTTGTATGTTGGTGATCTCTGGTTCAAATATTAGGTGACTTGGGAATTATCAACCAGTGACCACCGTCGTAACTGAAGATTAGTCTCAAAAAAAACAAGCCTACTTTTATTACTTGTAAGTTAGTGAGACTATCTGAGGTATCCGTGTTTGTTGGCTTCGTTTCATCGACGCTCAATGACGATTGTGTTTAGAGTGAGAAATTGGGCCACAACTGCGTCTGATGAGTAAGAGAGAGTCAGTCCCCTTGGTCACAACCTCAATGGTCAACCTCGCCGAGGTAATAACAGTCAAGTAAAGCTGTTTCAGAGAAAGATAATAAATACATTGTTCAGCAGAACCAAATAGCCTGTCATGTAAATCATTGGCAAATTGTCCGCTTCTTACAGACAATCCTGACAGATTTGTAATTTTACAACTGATCAACTCCAGTTTTGACAGACTTCTGTTGGTAACCATTTATTGTGGTGACGTTTGACACCGACGTGCTAAGAACTCATGTAATATACTTGTGAACAACGTGCGTGGTTGGAAACGAGACATGCAAATCTGGAGTTATCGCTGGTTAGCTTACAATAGTCCAGACACTGGACGGTGGTTTACTCCGTTGTTGACCAACTTCATCAACAGTTTATCCACACAAATTTAGCACATACATTAACCGAATAGGTCAGTTCAACTGAATCTGATTGATTAGTCGATTTCAATGGATCTGTTTGCCACAGATGGGATGATCAATTTGCTAATTATTTACGAATCACACAATCCATGTATGTGTTTTGCATATCTGAGAAATGATTCAAGAAGCTGAGTGCAGTGCTAGCAGAGTTCCCATCAAAAATCGCCCAGCTAGGAACACAAATTGAAGGCTGTAACACAAAAGTGTCACAAAAAGACCACTAAAGCAATGCGTAACATGAATAACTAGGAAACTCCTCTCATCTCCGACATCTAACTCTGAAATAATCATGAATCCGTGACAACAAGTTTTCCAGAAAGAACCTCAAACTTCTATTTTTGCCTCAATCAACTTTATCTTTTTCACCACAATAAAATCGACTTCATTGTCGAAGACGTCGGAGAAACGTGCTATAACATAATTCCTACCACTGAGAGATTTCCGGAGTGGAAGCAAAATGAATAAAATTCATGTCGTCGTGCTGTTATAACTCCGTTTTCCTTAGAACCGATTATCTCACTAGTTTTCTCCATCATGCCTAAAACAAACCGATAGATCAGTTAGGAAATAGTCTTGCTATACGTTGTAGGTATATGTCGTTAATAACAGCGAAATTCACTGGAATGCACATTAGGCCGAAATTATATACATCTAGCACATAATCTTTAGCCATCTCACAAAAACAAAGCCACAATATCGAATGAACTCATCGACTTCTTCACCTTCGCTTACGCGCAGAGAAACTGGAGATTCAACGTCTTCATATATCTGCAATAATACCAATCAGTATATGAAGACAAGTGGAGATATAAGTTTGAGTGAGAAAGAAACGAGGAAATCTCAGATTTGGAAGACAACGAAAGTTTGATGTTGACTTGCATCTGCAGTCAACTGACGCGTAGACTGAAAGAAACTACTACAAGCTCAAACATAATATCAGTAAGGAGGTAGTCAATTGAAATATGTGTACGGCGAGTTACTGGGGAATTGTTTATTGAAGACAGTACCACCTTAAATCATCTGAGTAAGCTAACAAGTCAGTTGGTGATAAAGTTGTCATTGAGATTGCTATGTGGAATGAGAGTGAGGGCCTTATGATTGCAACATTCACCTCGGAAGATGCAGCATCACGAGAACCATCATCGAGCCACAAGCATTTTTCACAATCTTCCTAGCCAGTTCATGTAGTAATCACTATTATATATCAGTGATCGTAATGATAGATGAATCGGGATGCTAACTGCTGCGAAGTAGATGAGATTATTCTGTTCTCAGAGCTGATAGTTTTGTCTTTGTAGTACTTAATTGGTGTCCTAAATCCACCTGTAGCGCAAAATCTCCCATCACTCTCATCTGCCTTTTCAGAGTCTTCTGAAATGAGAGTGGTGTTTATAAGGGAGGTGATCTTGATACAGCAGTCATGAGTGATCTTCCCAACAGGTGATTAGGCTTGACCTTCCCATTCAAGTCATGAAAACATTTTTGAACACTGGAGAATACTTTCAGTCTGCAATATGCCCTTTGAGGTGGAAGTCATCTACCAGCTTGTCTAGTTTGCGGTAGACATTTCAATGGCATTATAGTTACAATCCTTGGATCGTGTTTAGAATTCGCACCGACGTTGATAGCCAGTGTGTCATTCAAAGTTATTATTCATGAGAAACGCCACCTGAGAGAAAACTTAGGGATGCAGAAATCTAGAGTGGGTATGTGTAAGATAATTGAAAATATATCAGTTGCAGCTCAGTTGTCTATCAAATGAGGCGCCACTCAGAAACATAATAGCACGAAATGAGGTTTCACAACGGACAGCTCAGTACTATTATTGTTATTGTCGTTATTAGTAGTAATAGCAACGGTGTTGGTATTGGTATTGGCAGTGGTCTTGTGAGTAGTAGTAGTAGTAGTAGTAGTGTGAGTAGTAGTAGTAGTAGTAGTAGTAGTAGTAGTAGTAGTAGTAGTAGTAGTAGTAGTAGTAGTAGTAGTAGTAGTAGTAGTAGTAGTATTGTGAGTAGTAATGTGTGAGTTGTGGTAGTAGTATTAGTAGTGTGAGTAGTAGTAGTAGTTGCATGATGCCATCTTAGATGCTCACACCGTTACTTTTTGTTTAGCTTACTTAAGAAGAACGAGGAAGGGACTCTTTTGCTCATGATCAGACAGCTTGTCCATAGGTAAGATATACATTCTTCACCATATTACACACACAGTAGTGAAAGAGAATAAAATGGATACAGTGATTTCTTATTGTTTTCAGTTAAACTTCCAATGCTGTGTTTTAGATGAAGCAACCTACCGATTTGAAATATCTCACGAAAAGCACCACTGATCAATACGGATAGTCCAAGATAACTCGAGCTCGTCAGACAGCGTGACTTCCTCTCACTAAAGTGATGTTGTGCAAACCCTGGTTAGCCATCTTCTCTTTCTATTCACCGATTGTTCAAATCGGTTTTCTTCTAATCCTACAAGTATCACTGTAGATACTGTGAGATTTCCTTCAGCTATTACTCAGATGCGATTGCCACTCTCAACGAGATCACACAATGTGATGTGA